ACAAAGAAAAGAAATCGCATGGCCTGTGAAACACTTAAACAGTGTTTATGTTTAAATTCATGGGATATCAATATCATGAATAATAAATTTTATATATAATTTTTATATCTATATATATTGTTAAATTAAATTTTTTGTACATTAATAAATATATATAATTTAAATAAAAATATTTAAACTATAAATGTATCAAATATTTAAGATGTTTTGAGCTTAGTATTCTTGTTTCAGGCTGTTGTTTTTTATGAATACTGGAGAATATTAGTGTTTTAATATTATTTGACTTTAAATTGATAACTAAAATAGTTTTTGATATTAAAATATAGAATTCTGAACACTTGAGAAAAATTACACATTAAAATTGATACTGGGATTAACTTTGGACCATGTTATAAAGCGCTTACTTTTTTCAGGCGTTAATTATTCACTATTTTATTAAGAAGAATATTATGAGAGCAATTTTTCTCATAGATTATATAAAGGTATAGATATCTATTATCAATTTCAGGATTAGTCAATATTTTTCTTGCTAAATAGGCTTAAAACGAGAGATTTTAAATAATAAATGCATATACAAATTATTAAGATATATCTATAATTAATTCTAGCATCTTAATCTTTTAAATTAATATTTAGAAATCTACACAATCTAGTTTCCAATATAATTTAAAATGTCATCGATAGAGATTGATAAAAAAGATATGGGTGCAGATAATATATACAAAGTTATTTCTCTGTACAATGATATGTAATTTCCTTCATGAGATATCGCATAAAATTTATTATCGAAAAAAAAACAAGTATAAATATCATTGTAAGATGTGCCAAGTAAATTTTATCCTAACTAGTAACTTCAAAGAGGAAATATTTTTATATCCTCAAACTTAAAAATATAATATGAATAAAACATAGATGAGTTTATGTGATAGTTGATTTTCTAACCTAGTCTATGACAATAACATATTTAAGAATTTTATTATAAATTAAAATTACAAGAAATATATTAGCATCTCATTTTATCACTTAAAGATTATTATGTACCTAACTACTCGTATATATAATAACCATTTTTTGTCCCTTATCTGTGATACATGCTCACTGATATTTTAATTTAACATTATTAGGATATATTTTTTTAGCTATTTCCTTTAAAAAAACTTGAAAAAGTTCAAAAATAGCGATTATGACAATTGTCACCTATCTATGATACATCCTCACTGAATTTTTAATTTAACATGTTTAGAATATATATTTTTAGCTATTTCCTTTAAAAAAATTGAAAAAAGTTCAAAAATAAAGATTATGACAATTGTCACCTATCTATGATACATCCTCACTGAATTTTAAATTTAACATGTTTAGAATATATATTTTTAGCTATTTCCTTTAAAAAAATTAAAAAAGGTTCAAAAATAACGAATATGACAATTGTCACCTATCTATGATACATCCTCACTGAATTTTTAATTTAACATGTTTAGAATATATATTTTTAGCTATTTCCTTTAGAAAAATTTGAAAAAGTTCAAAAATAGCGATTATGACAATTGTCACATATCTATGATACATCCTCACTGAATTTTAAATTTAACATGTTTAGAATATATATTTTTAGCTATTTCCTTTAAAAAAAGTGAAAAAAGTTCAAAAATAACGATTATGACAATTGTCACTATCTATGATACATCCTCACTGAATTTTAAATTTAACATGTTTAGAATATATATTTTTAGCTATTTCCTTTAAAAAATTTTGAAAAAGTTCAAAAATAGCGATTATGACAATTGTCACCTATCTATGATACATCCTCACTGAATTTTTAATTTAACATGTTTAGAATATATATTTTTAGCTATTTCCTTTAAAAAAATTGAAAAAAGTTCAAAAATAAAGATTATGACAATTGTCACCTATCTATGATACATCCTCACTGAATTTTTAATTTAACATGTTTAGAATATATATTTTTAGCTATTTCCTTTAAAAAAATAAAAAAAGGTTCAAAAATAACGAATATGACAATTGTCACCTATCTATGATACATCCTCACTGAATTTTTAATTTAACATGTTTAGAATATATATTTTTAGCTATTTCCTTTAGAAAAATTTGAAAAAGTTCAAAAATAGCGATTATGACAATTGTCACCTATCTATGATACATCCTCACTGAATTTTAAATTTAACATGTTTAGAATATATATTTTTAGCTATTTCCTTTAAATAATGTGAAAAAAGTTCAAAAATAACGATTATGACAATTGTCACCTATCTATGATACATCCTCACTGAATTTTTAATATAACATGTTTAGAATATATATTTTTAGCTATTTCCTTTAAAAAAATTGAAAAAAGTTCAAAAATAAAGATTATGACAATTGTCACCTATCTATGATACATCCTCACTGAATTTTAAATTTAACATGTTTAGAATATATATTTTTAGCTATTTCCTTTAAAAAAATTTGAAAAAGTTCAAAAATAGCGATTATGACAATTGTCACCTATATATGATATATCCTCACTGAATTTTAAATTTAACATGTTTAGAATATATATTTTGAGCTATTTCCTTTAAAAAAATTGAAAAAAGTTCAAAAATAACGATTATGACAATTGTCACCTATCTATGATACATCCTCACTGAATTTTTAATTTAACATGTTCAGAATATATATTTTTAGCAATTTGCTATAAAAAAACTCAAAAAAGTTCAAAAATGTCGATTATGACAATTGTCACTTATCTATGGTACATCTTCACTGAAATTTTGATTTAACATGTCTACAATATATATTTTTATCTATTTCATTTAAAAAAATTCAAAAATAACCATCATAACAAATGCCTCTTTTCTATGGTACATCTTTACTTAAAAATTTTAAAAAATAACTATGATGGAATAGTTAAATCAGAGCGTTATAATTTAAAGAAGCTTTAAGAAACTTTCCCGCCTATAATATTAATATCTACTAAATGTTATTTGACTTTTGGTCGAAAAAAATGATCTAGATATTTGGTTAGGTGAAAAAAAGCATCCCTAACTTTAAGGCGTCTTTTAAAAAACGATCCATATTTTGGGTCGGATTGAATAAAACGACCCGATGTTTGAGTCTGAGTCAGAAAAACGACCCAAACTTTGAGTTGGAGTCGAAAAATACGATCTAAACTTCAAGTTTGAGTCGAAAAATACGACCCTAACTTCAAGTTTGAGTCGAAAAATACAACCCAAATTTTGAGTCCGAGTCGTAAAAAACGACCCATATTTTGGGTCGAGGTCGTTTTTTTCGGCTTGGACTTGGGTCGGAGTCGAAAAAAACGACCCATATTTTGGGTCGAAGTCGTTTTTTTCGGCTTGAACTCGGGTCGAAGTCGTAAAAAACGACCAAAACTTTGAGTTGGAGTCGAAAAAAACGACCCAAAATTTGGGTGAGCTCTGTTCGAGCCGACTCGGCTAAGCCGATTAACAACACTACGGGTCAACCTATAGGGAATATCATCAACAAATATAAGAAAGACTTGCATATTTAAGCCTTAAAAAATAAATAAAAGGAATATCAAAAAATGTTGAATTCTTTTTGTATATTTCTTATATATATATATCTCTAAAAAATATATATTATAACAAATTACCATATATGAAACTAAAGGGGAATGTGTTCCCGGTAGGCCTACGAAATAACGAATCGAATCGTTGCGCTATTCGTATTCGTACGAATAATAAAATCATTATTCGTTTCGATTCGTCGAATATTCGATTCGATAATTTTTGCAAAAAAAATTTTACAGATGTTTAAAGATGACACTTTTAAGGATTCTCTAAACTAATTGTCATTACAATATAAAAATTTATAGAAAATAAACGAAATAAAACCCAATGATTTCATATAACGTTAACCAAACAAATTGACGAAAATATCCTATTTTTAGAATTGCTTATAAAAAAATATTTAGTGAAGCTGATTATGACAAAATAAAATTTTTAAAATTATAATCTATTTAAAAAATCTACATTTTAAATATTTGCATATAAAATATAACAAAATTTTAGAAAGTATTTCATTATAGATTTTATTTATTAAAAATACTTTAGCATAAATTTCCTTTATTTAATCATGTATTTATTTTTATTATTAATATCATTTTATTAGTTAGAGGTGAAGGTGATTATGACAAAATAAAATTTTTAAAATCATAATCTATTTAAAATATCTACATTTTAAATATTTGCATATAAAATATAACAAAATTTTAGAAAGTATTTCATAATAAATTTTATTTAATATATAAAAATACTTTAGTAGCATAAATTTCCTTTATTTAATTATTAATATAATTTTTAGAGGTGATTATGACAATGTAATAGAGGATGAAGATATTATAATGCACTATCTGAATTAGATTGTCTTTAAAATCTGCCAAAAATAAGGTTACTAAATGGGAAAAGGATTTTCCTAATCAAATAATAAGAACTAGTCAAAAAAATTTAGTTATTTATCTGTAAGGAGCTCGAGAATATGGGAAAGAGGCACACTCTATAAAAATGTTTCGACTTGTTCAATAACATCAAAAATGATTAAAACAATCAAAATAAAATAATTATATTTTACTTTGAAGCTTTCCCTTTTCTTCCATTAAACTTTTTCAGCAAATATAACTTGTTATGATTTGATATTTGATAATAGGAAATAAAATAAAACGAAATGATATCCACTAGGAAAATTTAATTACTTCTTTTTATTTTACTTGCAATAAAATATTTGCGAATAATTACGAATATTTATATATAAATAATTTCGAATAGTACGAATAATTTTCCTAATTATTCATATTCGATTCGAAAGTTCGAATCGAATAATTGTGTTATTCGTATTCGTAAAATACGAATCGAATATCAAATAACAAATAATTCGTTTTAGGCCTAGTTCCCGGATATTTACTCTATCTTGAAAGAATGTTACTTTATACAGTTCTAATAAATTAATGTATAAAAGGTTCGAACAGAGCCAATATTTTATTTTTTTATGAACCTTATCTAAACTATAATTATTATATTGGTACGAACCTATGTTCATTAAAGTGAGATCTGGGTCACCGCCTTCATTATTCACAAAGCATAAATAAATTATAATGTTTAAGTATGTGTTTTATTAGAAGCAACAATTTAGCATTATGATCGAATATTTAAATCATTCACAATTGTTTTTCGGGAAGTCTTTATAAATTTTTATTGTATGACCAAAAAATTAAAGAATAACTAGATCTGAATTAGTGGGGGAAAGAGTTTTCTTACGAATTTCGTCCGCCACTGATATATTTTACTAGTATATCTTCTTTAAAATATTATTTAGTATAGCAAAACTTATCGAATAATATAATATATAAATAAATAACGTTATAGATAGTATATAAATATATAACTATACAATTAATTTATGATACCATGCCTCGTAATTAAAAAATTGGCAATAATTGTGAAAAAAAATATAATTCATAATTTTTTATGTGGAGTGTTTTGTGTTATATTGGTCTTTTCTTCTTCTCCTAAATGTAGCGTATAGGAATGATGGATTCCCGATTAATCATAAAACTTTCGGTTTTTATTACGCCCAAATAATGTTTCTTTAATTTCTGGAATTAACTAAATATCATTTAATTATAGAGAATAAAACAATATTTTAGTTGAATATATATAGGAGTTCACAAGAGATACATAATACCTGGATTGCACCAATTTATAAAAACTGGAATATTTAAATTTAAAAATAAGTTATAGGCAAGAAAGTATTATAAATGGAAATCGAGATAGGCTTATTTTAAGTAGGAATCGTTTTTGAATCAACTTGAAAAGAAGGAATCAGCAAAAAAAAAGTTGATGAAGGCAATTCCTGTTTTTCATGTGGATCTGATCGATTTATTTCTCTTTATCACACATTCAATAGGTAAAATAGGGGTTAAAAAATCTAAATAAAATTAAATTAATAGATATTTCAGCATGGTTTTTTATAACATTTCCTATTTTAGGCAAAAACTAATATGTGCGAAATTTTATCGGCTCTATTAGTATTTGATTAATTTATCCTTTTTGAGTATATAGATCAAAAAATTCCTGTGTGAAATAATTTTATATATTTTTTAACTATGATATTCAGAGTTGTTAAAGCATCTAGGTATTTATACCTATACACACTTTAATAAAAGTATCTTAGATGCATTTTGATATAATTTTATTTTACATTTTTTGTAATGTCAAAGTTTATTTCATTACAAATTCAAACCATTATTTAAAATATAACAAATATTACTTATAATTATAAAATTAAATATAAGATATCAATTCAATTGAAAATATTTAGCTCACTTAAAAATTTATATTTTAACAATAAAATCCTAAATTAGGCATTAATTTTACTTAATTATAATAAAAATGTATCTTTAACAACCCTGATAATCATTAATCCTTAACAAAATATTTTAAATTTCATTATTATTAAAACTATAAAATTTTTATTATTCTGAGAAAAATTTTGAATTTTTTACAGTATACTACTAAGATGCTGTGGGAATGTATGTGCAAAATTTTAGCTTTACTTAGTAAGATACTTGTAATTATCTTGCATTATTTTTTCATTATATATATGAGGATTAAATGTATATTCCCAATTCAAGGTGTGATTATGTAGATTTGAGCCCAAACCAAGAAATAAAATTTTGAGCCTTATTACATTTAATGTTACACCAATTTTTATATAGAACCCATAATAACTGTTATCTTCAATGAAAAATGAATAATATTTTTCATAAATAGTATTTTATTCACCCAATAAAATAATTTGTGTTATTCATGGTTTTGGGCAAATTCAAATTAGGTATTGGCTCCCAAATTCTAGGTATCATGTATCTCTAAATTCTATATAAGAGTCCATATAAAGTATTCAACAAATAAAACTAGAATTTGTTATTCCTGCATTCATTATAACTTTATTATTAACTTTTTTCTTATAAACTACTTTATATTTTCCTGATGAAAAAAAGTATTAGCATAAATATTAGATAACATTTTTTTGAAATTTGCTTATAATCTAGTACTAAGATATATAAATTATATTTTATATAAAAAATCTGCATTAATATACAAATAATTTAAATTAATTACTTGATTATAACCTTGTTCAAGCCTACTATCAAAAGTGTTAGCTACTTTTATTTTTCCAGATTTATTAGATGCCATAATACCTCCAAGACTTGACAAAATAAATTTATTTAATAAAGTATAAATTATTACTTATCTTCAGGCAAAAATTGACTAGAATTTACTTCTAAGGTAATATTTTGTCCAGCATTTTTTTGATAAACTTGTATACATTCATTCAAAAGTCCCTAATAGACAAAATGATAGGTATTAAAATTTATTAAAAGCAACTTTGATTGTTTCAGCATCTGATTTTTTGCACTGTAGTATAACTTCAGGCTCTAACAATTCAAATAAGCTCTAAAAATTAAATTGTAACTCTTAAGCATAAAATTTTTTAAACTTCAATTATTAATAGTTTCAATAATTCTCTATATTTACCCTTTTCTTGCACAATTTTTGATAATTGTTTATGGGCTTCTTCAAGTACATGCTATAATATATAAATATAATATCTGAAAGGGATTTAGAAAATAATAATATTTTAGCATAAATAGTGCTGCCCTAAAATATTTGCCATATTTTGGCAAAAATTTACATTTGTTTAAAAATATAATAAAGGATGTGCTTTTGGTTAACATATTTTATGTCATGCCATTATAGTCTCATTTTCATATACTGATTTATAAAATTTTTTAAATTATTTTTATCAAATTTCAGCCTCCCTTGGACAATGCTCAATTAGTAAGTTGTAGGGGCAGCAACTGGGAATTAAAAAAAATAAAGATTATATTATAATAATTTATATAAGATAAATAATATTTAAAAACTTGCATATGACTTTCTTTTGCTTTTAAAATTTTTAATTTAGATTGACTGGTTAGATTAGAATTTTGTCTATAAAATTTAATTTTAAAGAAAGTTATTTATCATTTTATTTACATCTTCCTTTGTAATTCCACTAATTTTTCCTTTTTTTCATAATATTCCATAATTTTTACCCTTTGTTGTTGCACCAATTTACCCTTTTCAATGTTAAACTCTTCTTCAGCCTAGTAAATATATATATTACGTTATATATTCTAAAATATAACCTTAGCGTCAATTTCTTCCACTTTTTCACTAGCCTCTTGCTCTATAAAAGCCAGCATATGTTTGATCTTACATTTTTTATATAATTATATATTTATTTTAAGCAATATATACTTGTTTCTGAACATCAGCATCACTCAACCCCATTATTCCTAAATTTTCAAAGGACGAATGATGGATAGATTAAAATTATTATTAAATAATGCTAGGGATTAAAATTGCCTCCTGATCTAAATTAAATATATTTAAATATCAATTTAACACGATGTTGTAATTAATAATATTAAAAGATATATGGTTATTATAAAATATATATATATTTATAAATAAAGAGATAAACCCGTCCTTGACCATGTATTTTATTTACTTTATGGAAAAGAAATAAATACTCTGGCAACGAAGGGAAAGTTTGTAATATATTTACTTATCACGATTTATTACGAATTTCATAGCTGTATATTTTATATTTTTCGTCGAAAAAAATTGCAATCACAATGAACAGTTGTTTGAATATATCAATAAAAGATCATTATAATATAATTGGTTATGACGTCAATTATGTGCTGAATTCTACGCGGCATTAATTCAGTGTGGCGACGGCGCCGCAGTGTCAATTCAGCGCCTATCTAATACAGTTGAAATTTATTAGTATTAAAAAAGGATCATTAAATAGAAGTCATGTTGAGGGTTATAAAAAGAAAAATTTAATTTAATTAACAAATATTTATACTCTGATTTCTTTGGTGAGCCTACTTGCCATGTTAGAGATATGCTGATATTTTAAGTAAAGAATTAACAAAAGGGAAGTTTTCCATCATATCCATGTGACCTATTGGTATATGATGTATGCTTGGAAAGTGAAGGTCCCAGTTTCAATCCTGGTAAGGAACTGTAAAAGTTTTCATGTTTTTCTTCGATGACTGATGTGTAAAGACATATGTTAAGATAAATTTCTGAGCTGAGAAATGTCCCCGGTCACCGACAGGCTTGGACAGCTGGGTGCTAGTATACTTGTCCAATAAACCAAATGGAAGATGACCATTTGAACTTGTGTGCCATTCAAGAATGATAGCTATCTCTAGCTCTAGGATAATGGTGACCTCGGGGGTCGTTTTATTATCTCTAAAAATTTACCATGTTACTCGTCTAGACAGGTCCATTATTGGGATTAATCTTCAGTACATTCAAAAAGCAAAAATTGTTCTGAGAACACTTGCAATGAAAGAAATTTTTGAACGGCCCACTGCAGAAAATTTAAAACTCATTTTAATAAAAGTATTAAATGATTATGAAATAAAAACATCACAACTGTACACTATAACAACTGAAAATGGGGCAAATCTAAAAGATGGTAAAATTATTTATGGAGGATAGTGATGATGACTCAATTGTCTGAAAATGATGAAGAAAAACAAATACAAAATATAGATAATTATGATATTTATACTAGTTTCACAAATGTACCTGATGAATTAGCAAGCAATCTTAATCATTCTCAATATGATATTATAAACATATCAACCAATCTACAATGGACTTGATAATGATAATCCGGTGGCATATCCATCGTGATTTATACTCCGGTGGGAGTCAAGATACAATGGCCTCGATAGCTAAACTACGGTGGAAGATCCAAATGGAATTGATAAGAATACTCTGTGGAATATCATAAACATAAATTAGATAAAAAGAGATAGCTAAAATAATGAAAAGGAGATACATTGAAGGAACTTACCACCAGAAAAGGTAAAAGCTAAAAAAAAAAAACCAATAACTGTTTAGAAAATATTTATTGAGACTTAAAAATGTTTTTTCCTTTAAGACTGATAAAATTAGACGTGATTAGTATATTTGTATTTTTAATACCCATAATATAAATAAATAAAATTGTGCGTTAATCCGTTTTTGATTAATTACAATAGAAAATTTGGCATAAACATAATTTTTATATTTTAAGGATTTTTAATAAATCTAAAAACTGAGTTAGTCTTGTTTTAAAAGAAAAATTTTTTTTAAGCCAAATTATTTTCTGAATTAATATAATCGTTGTTAGATAACATTGGAAAATGCCAACCTCTATCATGAGATTTCCCTTTTGCTGATCCCTTATAAATCATTCTAAATAATTATTTCATTTTTTTTGGGCCCGATTTGGGTCTATTTATAAAAACGACCGATTAAGATTTTCGCCAAATTACTATGTAAAAATAAAGATAGAGGTCCACATTTTTTATTACATTTGAGGGCAAAATCTCCAGGCTTACATAATATTGTCTTAAATCTTAATCGGGCCATTTAATAACACTAATCACCATACCTTATAACATGGTATATTGGTACACCAATTAATACAATTAATGGTTAGCTAATTTTTTTAAAAATTTTATTAAATATCTTATTGATATTATACATTTTTAAATTGAGATTTTTTAAAAAAAATATAAAGAAATAATAAATAGGACTAACATTCAAAATGACTTCTATTTAATCATCCTTCTGTTTTTTTACCAATAAATTTATAATAAATTGCAAATGTATTTGATGAGCGTCGAATTGAAGCCAAGCCGAATTGTCACAGCGCCGAATTGCCACTTCACTGAATTGATGCTGCGCCGTTTCCGCGCCGAATTGACGTGGGCTCGATATAATTAACAATTGGAAAAATAGCCATTATTAAATTCTTGAAAAATATATATTAAAAATTATAAATATTATGAATATTGAAATAAAGTATATTGAACCTTATGAAGATCTGGAAATCAGATTGATATATTAAAATTAAAATTCCAAAGTAATAAAATAAGGTATAAATATAATTATAATACCTAAGAGAATTTTTATCGGATATATCCGTTGACATTTTTTTTTAATACACTATATATAAAAAAATTATTCATAAGTAACAGATAAATAATCTCTTCTAGTATTGTTGACCGGTTCGATTTGAGATGATTTTTAAAAACGGTTAACTCAATATTTTATCCAGGAAAATACTATGCAAGCCTAAAGATTTTGCTCATAGATGGCACAAAGATTTGGATATCTTATGCAATATTTTTCTGGCAAAAATATTGAGTTAAACGTTTTTGACTATCGATTCAAATCGAGGCTTTTAACAATACTAGTTCTTATATAGTGACTTTTCAAATATAAAATTAAATTAATTATGAATAAGAATTTAAAATAGCGGGTTAAATAATTTCAATTTTAAAACAGATGATAAACTTTTATGACTATTGCAATTAAATTTAAATAAATTGTATTTTTTCTAGAATACAATTTACTCAATAATATGGTAATTTATTGATCTTTCGATGAATATAAACATATTATTGTTAGAGTTAAATTATCTTTGGATCTTTTACTTTTGATAAAGTAAAATATTTTTGTTAATAATGTAACCTTTAAAAAAAATTATTATATACAACCTTTAATAAAGTTATTTCGTACTTTTCTTTTTATATGTAAAAACTTTAAATTAACGTAAATTGTTCTTTTCTTAAATTGACCTTAAAACAAATCTTAATTTTATAAAATCCTTATTTTGTTTATATGTAAATATTTATTAAAAATAATATATATATATCGAATGAAATTTTGTAAAAATAATATATATCGAGATTTTAGATATAATAATTTATTTATAATAAAATTTGTCTTAAATATTCTCTGCCTTCTGTGAGTTATCAATTTTATTCTTGTAAAACCATTCATATCTTAAACACCCCATTGGCGAGAGGGCTGCCCGAGTTGAATGAAGAAATTCGGTTAAAGTAGAAGTAATATCACTTTTGAAGATATGGTGCGTTTAGCTATCTTCAATAATGATAATAATAGTTATAATGCCAACAAATTAAATCATTATAATTATATCCCTAATAATTATAAATCTAGTTTTGAACCTAACTTCATACAAAAATATGATTTTGATGCGGCAAGGCACACCATATAGCAAAATATTATAGAATGCATGCTATACAGATATTTCTACCATGGACACCTCGCCTTCTCATTTCCTAATAAAGCTAAGATTAATGCGAAGATAAATGATTTGGATTTACAATGGAATTCGATACTGGTGCTGCGTGCAGTGTGATGGATGAAATTGTCTGGAGAAACACATTGGTAAATCACTATCGTCTTCGTATAAACTAGTGGATTATAATAATATCAGAATCGAAGTGTTAGGTGAATGTACAGTAAAAATCGAAGTAAACATTTCTAAAATTTTATCTATTTGGGTGTTAAAAGAGAGAATTCATTTTTGAAATGCCTTTTTTAGGAGAATTCGATATAAAACTTTTTTAAGAAGTTCGGATAAATTATATAAATATGAATGTTCCCACTTTAAATTTAAATACTATTGCATCAAAATAACTCCAGGTTTTTAAAAAAAAAAATTAGGAGAAATAAAACTCCAACAAGAAGTTATCAGCAACCGAGCGCATTACCGTAGCTTTACAAGCAGGAAGAGTTCCATTTGTGTCAAACGGTTGAAGCTGAGTTGGAAGACTTTTAAACAAAAGTGTTATCCAACAGGTGTATCCAACAGGTGTATCCAAAAACAACAAAAATCACTTGGGTTACGCCAGCGGTTAATATCTTAAAGTAATCCGGTGCAGTGCGAATATGCGGAAATTTCGTTTAACAATCACAAATATTTAGTGATAGATAACGATTTACCAACTTTCGTTGTGGATGGTAAAATATTTTCTACTATAGATTTAATAGATGCATTTTTACAAATTGTAAAACACCGTCAAATATGAAAAAATTACGTTCGTTTCTTAGGTTGGGATGGTGAATACCATGAGTCGTATATACAAAATTTACATTCTATCTGTGCACCTTTACAACGACTAAAGAGTTCAAATGTTAGTTAGTTATGGTCAGCTCAAGAAAATGAAATATTAAGAGGATACAATAATTTCTTATTTAGCCATAGTTCCTGTCGATATTTCTTGTGACGCTTCCGAAGATAGTCTAGGAGTTGTTATTGCACACCGATTTCTCACCGGCCACGAGAAACCTATTGTTTACCCATCTAATACACTTTTGGCAGTTGATATGAATTACGCCACCATTGATCATTTGGATTAGGCGATCATGTCCGCTATCGAGAAGTTTCATCAATATATTTATGGAAGACATGGTATTTTGGTTACGGATATAAATCTTTAAAATATATTTTAGGTAGAGACTTATATAAAATAACAAATAACCGTTTAATACGGTGGGTC